GACCCCCCCCCAAAAAAAACTATCAGCGGGTCCTAAAATGGAGAAAAGCTATACAATAATATCTGTATTTGAGCAAAAAAACCTGAGAACTTGGTAAGGAACTCAAGGAAGTGCGAAAGCAAAACTAGCTATCAAGACTCCAGGACTCAATAATAGAGAAAGGACTGTGGATTTTAAAGCACCAGAGTGGAAATATAGCAATGAACAAAAGTTCCTTAAGGACTTCTATTCCATTGCAAGAGACATAAATTAGTTGACATTATACCAAGCTACTTATATTAAGTCCTAACATAAAAGCCAGGCGCCGGAGGCTCACGCTTATAATCCTATTTAGGAGGCTGAGATCTGAGGACTGTGGTTCAAAGCCAGCCCAAACATGAAAGCCCTTGAGACTCTTATCTCCAGTAAACCACCAGAAAACCAGAAGTGGTGCTGTGGCTCAAGTGGTAGAGTGCTAGCCTTGAGCTGAAGAGCTCAGGGACAGTGCCCAAGCCCAGAGTTCAAGTCCCATGACCAACCAAAAAAAAAAGGAATGAAAGAAAAGAAAACTTAAAACGTGCATATCTTCCTTAAGACCAATGTAAACCCTATAGAATCACCTATGATGAGTCTCGAGAGCCCTTTGCCTATCACCCTGACTTCTACATGGGAATACGTGACTGGGCATGTGCAAAAAAAAAAAAAAAAAGAAGTACCCATACTGACGCTCCTTAAATTGAAGGAACTATGTGTGTGTGGGGGGAGGGGGGGGGAGAGAAGTACTGGCAAAACAAACCAAAGAAGGAAAAGGTAAAAATCTGCCAAACTTCTTTGCATATGCTTACGATGTATGTACTCCTGCAGATTAAGTCCTACAGACCTTATGTCCTTCCATCAGTCCGGTTCCTTCAAGCTCTGAACACGTTGGTGTCCTTACTTTCACTGGCATATAATAATTGTCTGCATTTATGGAGCAGTGTGATACTCCAAAGCATGCACGCATTGTGTAACGATCAAATCAGAGGCACCGACATATCTATCCATCGCCTCAATCATTTACCGTATCTTCTGCGTGAATACCTCTCTTAACTAGCTTCTCGGGGACATAGTGGATAACTCCGGTTACTGTCGGACGCCACTGCTACCCGACTGCCCCTCCGCTGCACCCCGTCCCCTTCGCACTTTTGTATGTAACTGTTCACTCTCCATTTTTTGAGGTCAACCCTTTTCGTTTTTCCCCGACGGACACGCTGCCCACGGCGACGGGAACCTCATGTTGCAAAGCCCCTAATGCATCTCCACAGGTCATCTTCTTGCTTGAGTCTCCCGCGTCTGATCCACCCATCCACCGGGCGCCATGCTGCTCACTATGCCCGACTTCCCCGTGGCCCTCTCTGGAGGTCCCGGATGGTCCCGGAGCTCGCGGTATCTCACCTCGGGGTCGCCGCCCGCGCCAGGGTCTCGGTGCACAGCGTACCCAAACAGAACCTGCTCGTAGCTGCCGGCCACCAGCTCCATCCGACCGCACGCACGCCGCCCGACAGAAGATGGGGCCTGTCCCACGTCGGCGCTCGGATTATACGTCACGCTATAGTACGGCCTTCCGGATGCCTGAATTAAAAGAAAATTTTCCAGCGTTTGATATCACGTGGTGCTTTTCAAAATAAATACATATAGATAAATACATAAATAAAAATAAGGAAGGAGGCCACACGAAGGGATTCTGGTGAAAAGGAAAAACAATTGGAGTCAAACAGGCAAATTATAGGAAGCCGTGAGCTAGGTGTGGTCACAAGTGGGGCGGGACATCCTGTGTGTTGTCCCTCCTTCCTGTGGGTGGGGCCTAAGCAAGGGGAGGGGCTGGGTTCGGCAGGGTGGGCGGGCCCGGGGTGGGCGTGGCCGGCGCCCGCGGTCCCCGTGGCCGTCGGGGTGGGGTGTGCTTGTCCCGCGGCTGCTGTGGGTTGTGATGGGGTAGAGCCGTGACGTTTCCATTCTTGTGCCGGAAGCGGTCTGTCGTAGCCGGACCCGGAGCAGTAAGGTGTGGGGTTTCCTGTGCCCGAGCCGGCACCATGAGCGCCCAGGGCCGCAGCGTGTGGGACTAAATCCTGAGCCCCGAGCTTTGCGCACTTTGCTTGCGAAATCGCGTGTCTTCAGTCTGGGGCTGCGGGGCACAGCCCTGGTCGGTGAGGAAATGCTCAGCATCCCTGGCCATAAAGGAAATGCCAGCCAGAACAACCTTGAGGGGCCGGCCAGGTGGCCTTATGGTAGAGCGCCTGCCTAGCATGCATGAAACTCTGGGTTCGATGCCTCAGTACCACGTACACAGAAAATTCGCCCTAAGTGGCGCTGTGGCCCAAGTGGTGAGCACCAGCCTTGAGCAAAAGAAGCTTAGGGACAGTGCCCAGGCCCTGAGTTCCAGCCCTAGGACTGGCCAAACAAACAAAAAAAATTGAGACTCCATCTCAATCCTGTTAGATTGGCCAGCATCTGGAATTCTAACAACAAATGCTGGTGAGGGTGTGGGGGGAAAGGAACCCAATTGCACTGTGGGTGAGCAAATGCATAGTGCAACTACTCTGGAAAGATGTGTGGAGACATCCCAAAGAAAAGCAAACCTAAAGACAAAATTATCCTATGATCCAGCTATACCACTTTTTTTCTTTTTTTGGTTAGTCGTGGGGCCTGAACTCTGGGCCTGGGCACTGTCCCTCAGCTCTTCAGCTCAAGACTAGCTAGTTCTACCACTAGAGCCACTTGCAGCTTGCTTTTTCTGCTTATGTGGTGCTGAGGAATCGAATCTAGGGGCTCATGCATGGGAGGCAAGCACTCCGCCGAGCCACCTTCTCAGCCCCTAGCTATACCTCTCTTGGTTACCTACCCAGAGCATTACAAGTCAGGATACTGTAAAGACACTTGTACATCCTTGCTCATTGCTGCACAAATCACAACAGCAAAGTTATGTCTTACAATGGATGAGTGGATCAAGAAAATGTACATATATATGTATACATACACACACAATGGAATTTTACTCACCTATCAGAAAGAATAACGTTATGTCATTTGCCTAGAAATGGGTGGACCCAGAACCATTAATTTTAAGTGAAGTAAGTCAGGCTTAGAGAGACAAATGGTGCATGTTTTCTTTCATATGTGGAAGCTAGATCTAAAATACAAACATGCATGATAACATACAAGGAAATTATACACAAGCAAACCAACTAAAGGATGGCATACTTAGGAGAGGACTCCAGAGGTACAATACCTCTGAATAACTCATGTACTATTTATCAAAATGGAAATACATTTCAGAGGGAAGGGGAATGAAAGGAGGAAGAGTGAGCAAATGCAGTCATTATATTCAATGTACATTCTGTACAAAAATGAACTCTGGGGGTGAGGAGGAGATGGGAAGGGATGGGAAGGGGAAACAAGGGAGAAGGCAACAATGCTTGATAAGAAATGTACTCATTACCTTGCCCGTGTAATTGTAACCCCTCTGTACGGTATTTTCACAATTAAAAAAACAAAACAAAACAAAAATGAACTCTGTAACTTGAGGGTAGGAACAGGAGAAGGAAAGTGGAGGGGGGAATGATGGAAGGAGTGATACTGATCATGAAGCATTGTACTCATAACATGACTTATGGAATTATAACCCCTTTTTACAACTACTTAATAATAAATAAATACTGCAATTGACTTGAGGGAGAAAGGCATCTTTGGTGAATGTTCTAGAAGGAAATCTTAGCTTTGCTCCAATCTCCCCTTGCCTTTGGGGCCTAGATTATGTTAATGAAAATGCAGGTATTACCTAAGAGTATCCTTTTACATTGAGATTTTAAAAAAATGATAGAGGTTCAGTGAAATGGGGCTGGGAAGGTGGCTCAGTGGTAGAGCGCTTGCCTTGCATGCCTGAGGCCCTGGGTTCGATTCCTTAGCACCACATAAGTAGAAAAAGCCGGAAGGGGTGCTGTGGCTCAAGTGGTAGAGCCTAGCCTTGAGCTGAAGAGCTGAGGGACAGCGCCCAGGCCTAGAGTTCAGGCCCCACAACTGGACCCAAAAAAAGAAAAAAATTACAGCTTTCTCTGGAACTCCTAATACATCAAAGGCGTTCTATTTGACAATAAGGAGTTAGTGGCCATGACCAGTCTTAAACTCTTCCTCCAACTCAACATTTGAACTGTAATAAAATTTTTCAGTGCTCTGGACCTTTGGTTGCTACATGCTTTCCTACCTGGGCTAACTTTGTACTACAATCCTCACATTAAAGTACCCATGAGACTCATCTTCAATTAACTACCACTTGCATTAGCTTTGAGCATAAAAGCTCAAACACAGTGCCCAGGCCTTGATTTCAAGTGCCAGGGCTGGCCAAAAAATCTCTGCTTGAAACAAGCAGAGTTCTGAAGATATAGAAGGTATCTAGGCAAAAATTAAACCTGGACTAGGGTTATATGGATACATCTCAAGGGATTTAATCCCTCCTTCCCAAAGGATATGAAATAATGTGGATATCAGTTTGGGGAGGTTTAATGACATTTTCAAAGAGCTCCAGGTCTCATGAGTGAATCCCTTGAGTAAGGAAACCATAGGATAAATAAAACCCTAACTCAGTCTTAGGTTATAAATGTTGAAACATATCCAGAAAAGTGACATTTTCAAGATCACACAGGTAGGTAACAGCCAATATGGCTGCTGCATTTCATGGCCTGGAACATTCTCTTTCACAGAGAACAAAGCAGGAGTGTTTCATTTCCTGCGTGGCCATTGCAGTCATTTCATAACATCCTCCGGTTTCAGGTGTTCATTATCTGCCAAAAAACCAAACCAAACCTGTTGAATGACATACCTGGAAAACTGTATTCAGCCTGAGTGGACTTCCTGTAAAACCTCCTGTTCTCTCCAAACGCCGGATATAAAAGGCCATTTAATCTTACTATGGAAACCAGTTGCCAAGCAACTAAATAGCAAGAGCAACCCTAAGGCACAGTCATTTTGCTTTTAGTTTTTGAAAAGCTTTATGTATATGAGCCATGCGTGCATTTATTCATACAACAAATACTTTCTCAGCGTTTAGATTGGTTTGGGTTGCCAAAAAAAAAAAAATCACTTCCCTTTCTTTAGGTAGTGGTGGTAAGGTAGAAACCCTCACCTGAAAGCAGGGTAGAGAGGAGAAACATCAGCCCCATTAGAAAGTCAGTTTGGGTGCTTACCTTCCTTCCATGATGTGAAAGGCAGTAACTGAAACTCTAGGGTCACAGCTGGAGGTAGCGGTTCAAGTCTGTGAGACTCTTGTCTCAAATTAGTCACCAAAAAAGCTGGAAATGGAGGTCTACCTCAAATGGTAGAGCCCTAGTCTTGAACACAAACGCTCTGGGACTGTGCTCAGACCCTGAGTTCAAGCTCCAGGACCTAGCAGCACACACACACACACACACACACACACACACACACACACACACACGAGGACCATGGAGGGGTTGCATGTGGTTGCATTCCCAGAGGTCTTCCCCACTGTATTTCAGAGTTAAAGGAAGCAGTTAGTGTTCAACTTTCCCCTGGATGCTAAACATCCACCTTGCATGGGAATAAACAGGTGAAACACAACAGGTTTGCATTCGGGCACAAATAGAACAATATAAGCCTTTCCTTCCTTGTCACTGGCACACAAAGGGCCCCTAAATGCTCATCTTCCTGTGAAGGTTTCACTTTGCTCACAGGCTCCTGCTCTCTCTCCATCCCCCCCCCCATCCCCATGGGTTTCTGTTCTGTTTTGTTTTATTCTGGTACTGGGGCTTAAACTCAGGGCCTGGGTGCTGTCCCTTAGCTTTTTCACTAAGGCTGGTGCTCTCTCACTTGAGCGGGGGGCGGGGGGAGGGTTGTTTGTCAATTGGAGATAAAAGTCTCCTGGAAGAACTGGCACTGTGGTTCAGTTGGTAGAGCACTAGCCTTGAGCACCAAGAGGCTCAGGGGCAGCACCCAAGACCTGAGTTCAAGCCCCATAACCTACAAAAAGATAAAATAAAAACTTACTTCCTTCAGGGCTGGGAAGTGGCTTGGTAGAGTGCTTGCCTAGCATGCATGAAACCCTGGGTTGGATTCCTCAGTACTACATAAACAGAAAAGGCCAGAAGTGACGCTGCGGTTCAAGTGGTAGAGTACTAGTGTTGAGCAAAAAGAAGCCCAGGGACAGTGCCCAGGCCTTAAGTTCAAGCCCTAGGACTGGACCCCAAAAGTCTCATGGGCTTTTCTGCTTGAGCTCACTTTGTACTGTGATCCTCATATCACAGGAGTCTGAGCCTAGCCTCCAAAGTAGCTGGGTTTACAGCCTGAGCCACCTGTGCCCAGCTCCCCGGTGATTTTAAAAGCACGCGTTGCCTCTTCTTTCCTCAGCTTCCTAACCTTTCCATACTCCTTTGCAGCCACAGCCTCAACTCTCACTCATTCATAAAGCCTGTCCTAAAATGATAAGGAGAAACTAAAGCTTCCACTGAATCCTTTTCTTAGGTGTCTAAATTGCTCTAGTTGATG